CACTTGTGGCCCGCTGATTAAGTTAAGTGACATTTTTACCACTTTTGGTTATTTTTCTTTCGTTTATTTAATGTATAAAAGCACCACATAAATCCACTTTCAAACTTCTTACAAAAAATCATAAAAGTTCAACAAACCTTAACAATTACACCCAAAAATTTTACCCTTTTTATTTAAAATTTTAAGTTTGCAGTTTCACATCCACAAACTTAGATCAAAATATGTTCGTATGCATGTATTTACATACATACGCTGTGATTAAGTTATAAATATTGCGCCATCTGTTACTCAAAAGCCGAAATACCTACACACACATACTTTTTGTCTCCTTCTCTTTGAATATCTTGAATTTGTGATAAGGAAAACAAAAACAAAATCAATTGAGCGGTTTTCGAGAATTTCGGTAATAATAAAAATTGCTAATTTTTTCAACAATTTTTTGCCTTAAAATGCTAGACATTTGTTGAATTTATATAAAATTTGTACACGATAACATTTCTACTGCTCCAAAGAACCTATAACCCGAAAGGCTCAAAATTTACTCCAAAATAAGCTAATATTTACCGTTGTTTCTAGGACAGACACCGGAATCGGTTACTTACAGAAATATATCTGTCGTTAGGTTTGGAATTTTGTCTTTGGAACGCCACACCTTTCTTTGAAATCGCTTTACTAGTTCTCGTGCAACAAGCGTTTTCGTGAAACTCTAAAAATTACAACTCCAACATTTTAGCATAGCCTCCATATCGAAACGTAAGACGTATTCTACGTCAAAAACCTTTATAAAATTTCTACTTCACGCCAGATTGGAAATGCCTATGTGTATGTACATATGTATGTATGTAGGCATGGTTGATAACCGATTGTTGTGCAATTTCAATACAACCTTCTTAGGTATATTCTTCAAAGAATGATCGAAGCAGTAAAGTGTCCGCCAATCTATTTTTTTTTTTACAATTTTAAAAAACAGATTTTGGTCGAAACCCGGCCTTTTCCTGTTTGGAGCTGTAATTTGTTAAAAATCAAAATGTTGGCGTAGTTTCGTCTATCCAATTCAAACCGGAGATTTTGTGCTAACCGCCAAACAGACACATTAAAGACGTCCTGGATGTCGTCTATAAGAGCACTATAACTCAATATTTTTAAAAGTGTCATTATAAAATCAATGTCAATTAAAATTCCATCGCAAAAAAGCGTTTTGTTTTTCAACATAGTTCACTTTAAGATCGATTCATTTAGTTCAATACTTTATCCAAATTTTGCATCCCTTCCAAATAATAAGATTTCTCAGGGTCCTAGATAGACATTTGTTTAAGTGATGCCGTCTTCTCTGACCAAGCCCTTTCTTCAAGTTTCGACATCAGGCAAACGTTGAAGGCACGGTTGTCGTTCTTTTTAAAATGGTCCATTTCACAAGCCTTTAGTTAGGTTATCACCCTTTCACTTCATGCAATAGTTTCGCGTTTTTAATTTTTTCTATTTAATTGATGAATATTCCACCCTATGTTGAATATCGCCATCGTCAGCCATGTTACTGATGCGCTGACGATCATCGACGATGACGATATTCAGCATAGACCCGATTGGCAACGCCTGCTAAAATTGTGAACTCGCCTTGCCATCGTTCTTCAAATATGGCATGGCTAATTATCTGTCAAAGCACACTTCAAAAAATATCGCGGTTTCTTGCTAATTTCAATTACTCGGTGACCAATATTAAAGTGGCTGTGAAAAATATGGAAATTTAGCAAAACTTTAATCATAGCATTTAGCACATGAAAACGATATTCGATTTCAATCGAAAAGATATTAAACATCTTGAAATTATTACACCACATGAAGTTCTTTTTGATACTGATGTATCAATTTTGCCGCTACTCGACCAATTTCTAGCTTTGGCAAATGATGCAGACTTTCAATTTCGCAAATTGAGGCTGAGTGAAGGTAACTTCAAAAACTGTACCAATATAGAACGTTTTTGAGATCAAGTAATACCATGTTTTGACCGACATCGAAAACATGTTTTCGTTGCTAAAACTGGTTTTCGACCTAAAACTTGTGTTTTCGTCCATGTAAAATCATTCCAATTGGTGCTGCACTAGTTTTTTCGATTATTTATCGAAGTGGAAGCCATATTTTATCATCTTTAATACGTCATTTCGGATTTATTGTTAATTGGCTGGCCGAAATAAAGTAAGCATGGAAGAAAAGGTTGTGAATGAAAAGAAATTGAAGGAAAAGTATTTTGGTTTTGTTTTTGTGTAGCAAAACTGTAAACAAAGGATGAAAGAAATGTCAACGAAAACACCAACAGTCGGTGTGAACAGCCTTCAGCCCACAATCCCAAAACTCGTTTTCAAGGTGTTTTCGTTGTCGGTCAGAACATGGTATAAGCTTGATTTAAAATGGATTGGGTGAAGCGGCCTTTGGAGAATTGTGTGATTTAGTTCATAACATTTTTGTAGTCTGCCTCACAGTTAAGAAACAAATTATAACTTAAAACTTTAAATAATATAATGTTAATAATATACAATTGTAATTCACTTTGGATGCAATATAAAAAAAAAATCGTTATAAAAACTGAATTGGCATATTTTCTTGATAAAGAGGAATAAACTCTAATTAACTTCCCGATGTAATAAAAATTGATCCAATTTTTGGTCCGAAAAAATAAATTGAAAATGGCAACCGTGGTTGAAGGGTCCTAAATTGGGAGCGCATGCTTGAAGGCTTGGCAGTTCGTAGCTGAAGTAATGCAGGGCAAACGAGATTAGTTTCTTTTTTTCATTGACGAGGTTGCAATGTCAATAACTGTCAAACACCGGATTAAAGCATGTATCTGGTTTAATATTTCACTGTATGTACTCTACAAACAGATGTTTGTTGATAGAAGCAGTGTTGTATTTAAATTTACTACGCGCAAATTAAAAAAGTTACTAACTTATCTAACTGCCACTGTATTTATTAGTATTTCTTAAGTATATTGCAAGATTAAGTAAGTAATTGCTGATAATACTAACTACTCTAAACTAACTGTTTCAGTCTACTTAAAATCACTATGTATGTCGGAAATAAAAAAAAAACTGGTACAGTACTCCATTATGACAACCTAGTTGGAAGAGTATGTCGCCAGAAATACACTACATACTTGTAATTCAGAACTGATAAGATGCCTTTGGCAGAGGTTTAACAATGCCCAAAAAAAATGCTTTTGTTTAATTTTAATGATAAATTTCGGCTTGTTTAGCTATGTATGTGTTTTTGTTTGTACTTAAATAACCTGATAGCCAAGGTAACTTCCTCAGTTTGTCTGCAATTCATTTCATTTTCCTGATAAAAATGCTGCACGAAATGTTATATTATTATAAATAAATTAAGCAAATATTCTTTTCTAAACATTGTGCTATTTTTAAAAATCTTGTTCATAATTTCAGCGCAAGATAGCTAACAAAAATTTTCATAATGTACGTCGCATGAGCGGCGGCAAACAAAACACTCAACTTGATTGGCGTGTTAAAAATTGGCATTGACCCCACTAAGCTGCCTTGTTTAGCATATTTAGATATTTTTTTTTTTGTATCTGGGCAATTTGCATGTATTTATGCTCTGTGCTAACTCGTATTTATAATCGAATGATTGTTTTTTTAGGTGTTTTTTTAATCATTCGCTAAGTATTTATTATATCTGTCTGATGTAGAACATATCTACATACATTACAGATATATACTGTATATAAAAACTTGGGGATTTCTAAATTTGTTTTGCTCAACATATTTTTCGCCAACAATTCTTCGCTTGCATTCCTCAAGTTAGATAAATGCATAAACAACATTTGTCCCAATCTTGTTCAACTAATTACATAAATAAATACAACAATGCATATATGTACATATGCAGTTATATGTGCACATATAGTAAATATTCAAGTACTCACCCGACTGATCTTCGCTCGTGACGAGCTCTTGTCCTTCATCTCGAATTCACTGTCACTATCCACTGGGTTAGCGCCTAGTGCAACGTCTTCCACCTCGGAGCGTTGTAATTTACGATATTTTCGCATGTCGTGTTTGCTGGGATTATAATCACGCTTAGGATCGTAGCCGGGTATGCCGAGATCGGTGGCCTCATCGTTGAATTCACCAGAACTAAATTCGCCTTCTTCGTCCTCGTCAGAGTATTCGGCAACACGATCTATACGATAATTATGATTGTGCATGTGTGAGTGATTTGCGGTGATTTGTTGATTGGGATTTTGATTATGGTTCGTTTTATTATTATTATTATTACTATTGTTATTATTACTGTGCTTAAGATTATGAGTTAAATTCATCAATTTTCGCAACGTTCGTCTTTTGTTTGTGGCTTGAACATTGTTTGTGTTGCTATTGTTATTGATTTGAATGCGTAAATTCTGCATTGTTTGCCACAAGTAGGGCAAGAGTTGAGAGGAATAAGGAAATTAAGCACTCAAGAAATGCGGTTGTTTTTTTGCACTGATACTACTACCAGCAGATCACCAGCGTGAAAGGCAGCAGATAAGATTTTTTGCCGTTATGTACTTGATACTGAGATTATTCTTTATCATCTTTTTAATTCTGACACTGATATATGCACTTTTTATTAAAATAAATATATGTATTTAATTTAACAGATAAAGGTGTGTATATACTTATAATTTTTAATGTACTTTCAAGTGTTTAAATAACGTTCTTAAAAACGATTTCGCAATTAATTGCGCAGATATTTAATTTTCCTTAATTATAAGCACCACACTGCCTTAACTACTGTATTGTTTTATTATTTTTAATTTGTCTTAAATTGTTTCGTCGATCGAAATTAAAATTTGCGGGCGATCACACGCTTGTTTCACAACTACGCTACCAACGTTAGGTAGGTTATGCGATTGTTAATACACACGAACAGTTTGTTCCGCTTGAATGTGATATCTCTCGAGTAGTCGAATTTCTACTGTTCCCTATCGGTTGCTCGCAAGAAGTCAACAACAGTGCTGCTGCCAAACACTGCTGTTTCGCGTAGTCAACATTCGTTTTTCCTCAGCCGGGCCAACTCTCTTTCACACGCGAGCACTTGGCCAATTTGAGCGTAGTAAGGGCCGAGTTGTAAGCAGTGAGTAATCACTAGCTACAGCCCATTAATTGCGATCTAGTCATATATGTGTGCTCAGTCCGCAGACAAGAAGTGGCATTTTTTTATCGACTCTCAATGCAGTCAACGCACGAATATATATACATACTGAACAAGTTTGAATGTACTATGTGCATTAGGGCGGGCAAATTTGTTTAATATGTGCGTATAGCATAGGAGGATTCTATGTACGTTTAATTGTAAATAAGTGATGTGGATATATGTTGCCGGAGAAACCATGGGTCTAAAATCAATTTGGAGTTTACCAAATTGCGAAAATATGATTCGAAGAAAATATGAAAAACTTTCACTGTTGTTCCCTCGGGTGGAAATTACAATGAGTGCAGAAATGGATTCCTCATACCAAAAAACCTCCTAAAGAATGTTTTATATAAAATTTAAATGTTAAGAAACCTATTTCCGCAATTTAACAAACTCCAAATTGATTTTACAGCCATAGTTTCTTGGGCAAATTTGTCTAGAATTACACGTAGAACCCGTCTGTGCTATACGCGCATAGTAAAAAAAAAAATCTCCCATACAATTTGACCCGCCCTAATGTGCATACTTTTGTTTAAGCACTTGCGTATAATTACATTCACGTTTACGCTTCATAAAACAACCAGTGAAGATACAATAGACTTATGTTGGAAATATGGTCATAAATATTGAGCAGATATACAGACCAAGCGAATAATAATATTCATGCATTCTCAACAATGAAAACAAAGCGGAAAGAGCTGAACGTCAAAACTGCGGCAAAATGTCGCATACGCCATGCTATTCATAGTACATATGAACTTTCATGGCTGTCAAAAAAATAAATAAATTGATGTATCTGCAGAATGGTATACCATACATACATGTCTACATGTTTCTATACTTAGTATATAGGTATGTACATAAGCACCTATGCACAATGAAGAATATGTATAAAACTGTGGATTGCCAGCACCGGCTATTCATAGCACATAAGCGAACTGAGCACTTGTTGACAGCTGACTGGCCGCAATTGTAGCGTGTGGCGTCTACCTTGCTCACTATTTTTTTACGTTCGCTGCTCAGCAACAGCTAAGCGTTACGCTTGTATTACATAGTGTTTAACACATGAAATGTCTATCATGAGCAGAATGCCGTAAAATTTCTTTCACGTACATATGTACATTAGAGTGCATCAGTCACCGTACAAAACAAAAAAATTACTGTTTTGCGTCGGAACTATAACATTTATTCTATAACATGAAAGCCGCCAAATATTTCAGAAAAATACTAAGATTTACGTGAACTGCACTGATTTGAAAAAAACCTCAAAAAAAATCTATTTATTTTTATTAATACAATTAACTAAACATTTTTTTTTTTTTTCAAAAACCACCTCAGAAGATAGAAGAGTTTAAACTTACAAAGTCTGCATGAGAATGCTTAAAAGTTTCTTCAACGGAATCTAAATATGTAATGAGATTTTTGGAGGTGTTTTCAAATCGGCTCAGTTCACGTAAATCTCAATATTTTTCGGAATATTTTAGCGGAAGTCTTCAAATATCATAAATTTTATAATTCCGGTGGATAAATCCTAACATATTTTTTTGTGAGGCACTCAAATGTGCATACATTCATATACATATATCAGAGGCCTGTACAAGTATTTAAGTAGTATATTAATAAACCACGATGTAGAGAAGACAAAGGTGGCTCATTCAGCGGTAACGCTACTTTATCCTTGGCGAAAGAATCAGCTGTTTCTGTGACGTCATCCACGTCCGTGGTAAGTTCGCGCTCATAGATAGTTTCCAATAACACTGTAGGGAAGCTAATATTACACAAAAAAAAAACGCCGACACACGTAATTTAATTTTGGGTCGTAGATTACGAATCTGTACACCATTTTTCTAGATCAGGTCATTTTCCCAAACTTTAACATGAAAAAGGTTACTCGTACGTTATGTACGAGTGTGTACGAGTAAGGCCATGTACCATATGGCGTATGAGTAACATTATATATTTTCTGCTCGTATTTTACAAAAGCGATAAGTGCACATTTTCATTTGACCATTCAAAATTGTTTTTATCGTTAGCAGCTTGCTTTTTTTGCAAAATACGAATGAAAAAAATTACAAAAGAATCGTTATTTGTTTCATTTTTTCCTTGTTAAAGTTTAAACTGGTTTTCGTAAAAATTTGGAAAATGGCCTGATCTGGAAAAACGGAATACAAAACTAACTAAATTCTACTACCTTGGCGTATTCTTCTTCGCTTCGATCTTTCTGTGCCTAATATTAAATTTGTCTTCGATATATCTATTTTTCTATCTGCCTAACATACATAAGTGCTGCTCGGGGCGACCACTGCTCCGACATGTAATTGAAGTTCTCACTGGCTGATGGGAACTAACACTATTATTTAGAATGGGTATGCAGTCAAACGATTACTTTCGTAGCTGCCATGATGTGGAGGAAATTGAAATCGTGGACATTACCTATGCCACTGTCCCGCTTTCTCTTCTTTTTAATGTCTGGCTGAACTGTACTAGGCTTGTATCTACGATTTTGTATCCTTCGTATGGTTATATGAGGGCCGCAAGGAGTCCCTAATATGGTATCACAATGGGCCCATGACAACCTAAGTGTGGCCTTTCATGTGCTGGATTAGAACAATCAAGGTAACCTAACCTATCGTAAATTTTATGCTCAAAAAGTATACATATGAACAATATTATGATTTGTTTACAAATGGCAACCGATGATTTTTTTTCCTTTCTTTTTCATCTCCGCTATTCCGCTGTATATTTGGTATTTTATCATTCTTGTTAATAACGAATAATTACGATGCGCAGTGTAACGCGTGCAGAAAAACACACGCAGACTAAGTGATCACACATATCGTTTGTCAAAATTCATTTGAATTGGCTGCTCTGACGCAGGCTGCACGCAACTTGATAGTCAATTTTACTTTTAAGAAGCCGTCATCAAAACAACAACTTACAATTTTCGTCTCGTTTCCATGCACATATTTATAATATTTACTTGCAGTAATATCTTCCCGTCTATTATTGACTAAATTCCGAAGCACGGGAACAGACTGACTTGACTATTAAGTTGCCCCACGACTTGAAAGCAAAAACTGATATCAAGTTTATGTTCAAGTTCTTGATCGTGTAATGTCGAAGTACCTAATCTGTGTTTAAGATTAGATGAAATTTTGATCTAAAATGATTGCAGATACTGCCACTTTCGCATCGAGGAAATTAACGTAATCGTACCATACGTAACCTACTCATGTAGGGTTCTGATGTATACATACATACATACATACATTTGATAATACATTTGTATTATAAATTAACAAAAGACTCACGCATGTCTGTTGCCTTGTTCCTGTACACGCGCATTGTGTATAAAATTTATGAGAATTATAAGTAGCGTGAACGTGCGAAATGCATATTTGCAGAGCATTGATAAAAAACAGGCGTATAATGTTATTGTACGATATCGTCTAAGATAAAGCTGTAATAAAAAGCGCAATAAGCTCGGAAAAAAAATTCTCAAAAAAATCTCAATTCATATTTAATGGGCTAAATACACAAATAGATACTCAAACGTACGTTTCCTAGGAAAAATAACTAAACTTTTATGAAAATTTCTTCGTATTTCTAACATTTTCCCGACTCTATATGAAATTAGGAAAAAAAATGTTTCTTGTGGTTTTTACTGTTGAATGCACTTCATTTTTATAAAAACATAAGAAAAATTTAGCATGTAAAAAATAAATAAAAAAAATAGTCAAAATGTAAGGGTATGCATATTTTTGACGCTGACTGTACATCCTATCCGCTCTAAGAACTTTTCTGCATCACAATTAAATCTTAAAAAAAAAATGTGCTTGGGTAGGTCTTTAGAAATTTGCAAGCGGAACGGAAAAAAATCATTTGACGACACTCCCCATAAAACCCATAACTTCGAAAATCTTCCTTAAAAATGTCGTAGAAAATTAGCACTTTTTAATATTAGATTCATTCAAAAAAGAATCGCAAGCAAAACAGAATAACCA